AGATGATTACTAAATATTTGATATCTAAACACTCAGTGCTTTTTCTTTTGAGAAGAAAACTAAATGTTTTTAGAGGAGTCAGCTTTCTGCCGTGGTTTCAGGGAATGAATTGTGATCAGAAGTGAAGATTACTTCTACTTGAAAGAGGCTGACAAATTTCCCAGCCCCGGGATCACTTTCTGTGGCTTATGATTTAAGGGTGAGTGAACACGCCAAAGACCTGCACTTGAGCTGAGTGATGGGGGATGAGTTGTGGAGCTGCGGTCTTCTATGGTATTTTGTGAAAATAGTCAGAGATTTATGGCCATTAAACAACTTTGTAGCTGCCCCTCCTTGTTCTGAAGCTGCAGAATCTTCACTCCGGTACTCTGCATCCCATTCCCTGTGCATATCATGATGCTCATGTGTGTCCGCCCTGCGCTGTCATTGTGCATGCACATCGGGAAGGGTCTTGAATGTCACACTGTCATTTTCTATGGTCACTGATAGACAGTCTCACCCTGCAAGTCTCTCCTAGAGTGTGCTGGACTTTCACTGAGTCTTTTCCCATCAAATTCTCAAAGCTCTAGCCTCCTTCCTCATCAGGATACACTGATCTTGACTGCTCTGTGGTATAGTTAAGGGGGAGATTTGTCCTTTCTGTCAGTGACCAGGGAAATGGGTCCTTTTAGTGGAGGGGTCCTGAGAAATGCTGACTTTTGTTTAACTGCCCTGATTTGGGGAAATGGAGTTTCTTTTGGATCTGACACTTCTTGCATGATGGAAATTGCCTTCTGCAAATGTGTTAGCTCCTGCTAACCATTACTGATATGATTTTTGAAAATGTTAGCGGCTCTCCATTTTGAATGGGTGAATAGGCAAGAGGCCTCCCTGTGCACTGGAGATCTTTAGCCCGTCTTATGCAAGGCTGGGACAAACATCTCAAGTCTAGAAATCTGGAAAACATTTTTGTCATTACCTGATTTTTGTTTTGTCTTTTCTGTGGGTCATACTCAGTAGTTTTATGAAAAATACAAATACGATTTTTTTTTTGGTCACAAACACACCCAGAGATGACATTAATCTACATTATAAAAGAACTAGAAAATTACTCGGGGTTGATATTGATAGAAGATGACATGGACTAGACGTGGAAGTCTTTGTATTGTTAGATTTCATGTTTAGCTTTTAAAGATTTCAAAAGTGTGGAAAGGTTTAGACAATAAGAAAACACATAGCCACAATTTAAGATCTGTCATTCGTAATATTTTAATGTATCTATTTCAAACCTGTTCTCTGATCAATAGAAATAACCACGCATACTTTATTAGCTCCAGTCTAATTACCATGCCCCTTGGCAGAGTCAAGGACTTTCCTGAGTTTTGTCCGTATTGCTATAATTTTTAGATTTTTGTAATACAGGAAATCAAACGGGCACATATGCAGGTAAAACCATGCAATGTTTGTCATTTGGCCACTTGCGTTTTCACTCCACAGAAACTTTTGTCTTATCGGAGGTAAGATATTTAAATCAGGCTTATTGCTCTTGGACGCTAAGTATTAGTCTTTCATAAAAGTATATACTATTACAAGACCCACCTCCATCATATTTGTAGAGGTGTATGTAAAGTTTTCTCTAGCTTATGAATTTTATAGTTTTATTCATGTGTGTGCATGTGTGTGTGTGCACACGTGTGAGCAAGTGGACGGATGTGCACATGTGGAGGTCATAGAACAACCCAGGTATTATCCGCATGGATGCCATCCACCACTCCAAGTCACTCAAGCCAGCAACTCATTCCCCTTGGCAGGGGCGAGAGAACAACTTTCTTGCCCCTCTATGTGCCTTAGCATGAGTAAATGAAGCCTGGTGGCTTCAGTGGCTGGTGGAATCACATCCTGCTTTAGTTCCCATGGCCTTTCAGCAAATTGGATGAAATTCTCTCTCAGTTATTGACTGTTTGGGTCTCCTCTTCTTGGAAAGCCCCGGCATTTCGTTTGCCAGTTGTCTTCAGTATGCATTTTTGTTGACTGGAGGATATTCTTTATGTATCCTGAGTACTGGTATTTTATTGTAGCCATGGCAAATATCCTCTAACAGGAGATAAAAGTAAAATGTGAAGCTACAAATCTCTGCCATCGGCACTTAGGAAAACTGGCACGGAATCAAACGTGGGAGAATCTTTACGGTTCCGGAGACTCAGACTTGTCCAGATTCCCTTATGCTTACTGTAGGCGTTTCTTCTTAATACATCTAAAGGAAACCATTATGTAGATGTGTCCTACTTATTGTGCCTCCATTGCCTCATACTCAAGTTTGTGTTGCCTCAAGTCCAAGGTGAGTTCTAGATCCTTTGGCAGACAGTGTGCAAAGTGAAGGAATTTTCTCATCTGTTTCTTTCATATGCTAACCTGGATTTTATGAATTGTGTTTCTGAGGCTAAGATGTGGAGAACATGTGCGTGGATTACACTGAAAAGACCCAGTAGTTTTCATTCTGATAAAAGCCAAGCTGAAGAACATGTACTTGGAATCTTGATTTGTAGAGTCACCCGGAACACTGAGCTGTATAAATCCCACCAAAAAGCCTAGTTTGCAAAATTGTTGTTTTCCTGGATTCTTTCCCATAAGTTAAGTTTATATTAGATTACAAAAATGGATGGTGAGCAGGAAAGTAATTAGGTGCTGGGCATTGAATGGCAGCTACAAGACTCTTGTCCTCCATACAGCTGAAAACAAGTCTCAGTCTCTTTCAGCTGCAGAGCTCAGATGCCGTGTACAGTCAGAGTATTTGCTGAAAGGCAGTGTGTCTTCCCGTTCCTTCTAGGGGAAGCAGCTCATCCCATTATCAACAGCCTAAATTCAAGTCTAAAAATTCCATAAGCACAGCGACATGAAACTCCTATTGGGGTGGAAAACCATGTCTTTTTTCTTTCTTTCTAAACATGAACTGCTTCAGAAACACAGGTAAAAACAAGTCTGGGATATCTTGGAGGAAGTGTGCTGGACGTTCTTCATCCTGTAACTTTATCTGTCCTTCAGCAAACACAGAGAGGCCTTCATGTTTAGAACATGGTTACTGTGTTTCAAGTATCATGTTGGCCATGGTAGACCTCAAAGGCCAAACAGAGAGACAAATAGCAAATGTAGGGTTTGGGTTTTAATTCATCTTCTGTCTCATCCACACACTTGCAGCATCTAAGTGTTCAGTGGGGTGGAGAGTAGCCAGCCTTTGAGAGTTCGGTCCTCTGTGGCGGTGGCTTTTATCTGGCTGCTTCCAGTATACTTGGACCAAGCTTTAAACGCCATGTATGTTCATTATGTTTGCCTTTTCACTGGAGTGGACAAGTATTCTCTCAGATCTGATCCCACCGAGGGACAGAGCTTCTAATTTTGCTCTGTTCAGACTTCTCTCTGTAAGTCTGCCCCGAAAGCTGCTTAATCAAACACCTCAAATGTCAGAAATGAAGTTTAAAGGGTTTCCATGGCAAGCAGGTCTAATCTGCTGCTTAGCTCTGACTGCCGAAGAGCAGGTAATCTCTTCGGAGAGAAGGCCCGCTTCTAGCAGGGTAAACACACCTCGGAGAATGGATTTCTTCTTCTGGAAAGAGAAACGAGGAATTAATGAAATTTACTTTTTCACCGAGCTTTTGGAAAGGTTGAAAGCCTAGGATTTCACTCCTAGCAGATGTTCTTTTTCAGATATTTAAAAAAAAAAAGTTGCATTTGATTTAGAAATCTCTGTTAGGTCTAATGGTGGAGCTTTTGTCAAAGTCACCAAGCTCTTCAGAGGACATATCGGTCCTTGGTCCCAGTCCACGTGAGCTCCGAGGCTGTCATCATGTATTGTTAAGGACATACAGTTCCAGAAAGGGTTAACACTGCAGGCACAAGCTGCCTTCCACACAGTTTCCCACAGGGTAACTAGCCACCATTATTAGTTACAGTCAAAGAGTTCCTGATGTACAAATAGAAAAACAAAACAAAGTAACACCATTTTATATGCCATTTTCTTTTGGTAATTTGAATGATTTCCCCTCCCCCCCCCCGCCATAAATGAGAGCATTGAACTTCCACACCAAGCATGGGGAAGCACTGCCCCCTCCAAACATCTCCATCAGTGTCCAGTTTCCTGTCATGAGGTTGTCCTCATGGAGGCTGTATCATGGAGTTCTGCTTTCCCTTAACCTTCTAGTTGCTGATGACTTGTTGAGAACCATCACCATACTGAGTACCCACAGTCGAAAACTGAAAATCCAACAAGCTACAAACCCAAACCTTTTCAACTCTCACCTGATGTCACAAGCGGAAGCTTCTCCTGGCCCCACAGAACAAAATGCAGGCATACGAAGTCTGTCACATAGCATGCTTGAAGGCTCTGCGTGGAAGATGTACAAAACAACAAATTAATGTCGTGTCCAAATTTGGGTCTCTTCCACGGTGTACCTCATTATGTTTTCACACATATTCCAAACAGTGAAGTATGAGATAGTCTGTAATAAATACTGAATTTGTATTCCCAATTCAAACTCCAGAGGGATTTCTCCAGGGTTGATATTATACTTAGTTCACAGCACAAGGCTGACTCATATATTCTGCTTTCTTCTGTCTCTGTGCCACCAAGTCCGCGTAAGCCAGTCCTGATTCCCGCACCTACGCTGCCTCATCCACAGTAGGGCCATAAGAGTCTGCTTACAGCCAGCACTCACTTTGCCACAATTTCTGGGAGCAAGCCTGGAGCAGACCTGGTCTACAGTGCTTCCTGCCTTTTTCCTGGTTTTCCTCCTCTACTTCCAGCTATGTATAACAGTGATGGCCACAGCCAGTCCTCTATCTCAGAGCACCTCAGAATGCTGTGCCCTACTAGCTCAGACTAACTAGAGCCCATCTCAACAGGTAAAGGAAGGTCAAGTGGATCCCATTCTCTCCAGACTCAGATCCCAGGGAAATGAATTAGTAAACAAGGATGTGACACGGCGTTTGGTGTTTCTCCAAGGTAACATTTTGCTTTTATCTTACAGATTTCCAGTGGGGATGATGCTGCCTCTCCAGAAGGACACCACCAGTACACACCCCTGCCTTCTGCATCCAGAGAGCTTACCAGTCACCGAGGTAGGAACTCAGCTTTCTGTTGCTATCAGTGATTGTAGCCTGCAGACCTGACTGTACAGAACTCTGGAGCTCTGTGATCCTTACTGCGCCTGTCCTGTGACAAAAAAGCCCAGGGATTTTTAGGCTCTTGACGGGAAATCTGTACTAACAAGCCTAAAGATTTTAACCCAGATAAGCAAGGAGGCGTAAACCCATGGTATAATTTTGAAACCCCCTGTTAAACAGAAAGATTATAGTATTTAACAATTACTTAGAAGACCATTCCACACAGTAATAGGAATGGAGAGATGTGGGAACTGAGTAGTATTTGTTAAAATAACAATGTGTGGAAATGTAAGATGTGAAATATGTAATTTCAAAGAGGGTGAACTCTAGATTATAGCTCCAGAAACTTCACTTTGCCTGGCAGCTTCAGAAAGAACCTTGATTTCTGCTGGCTTCTCTGGTCCTGGAAACATAATTTGATTGGTTTGATTCTTCTAGTATTGGAATCCTTTTGCCATTTTGGAGATGTTAAATTTCAAAAGCAAGCAGAATACTGACATAGAAATATCATTTGAAAAAGTCTTGTCCCTTAACCAGCTTCTGGAGCCAAGGAATATGCCACTGGCTGAGCTGGAATTACTGAGGGCAAGAGGAGGTCACGTGGTCTGACGTGTCTACTGTCATAGCCTCCCATGATCAGATCTCTGTTTCTTAACTGGGAATCTGTCTTTCAAAGTTAAATAAGGACAGGCTTAGAAGAGGGACATTGTGTACTTTAAACACTGCTTTCTCCAGTGCAAAAGTCCCATTGGGGTCACTGAATAAGTGCTCTCTTGGTCATCCCGGTTATACTGCATGGATGGAGTAAAAGGCTACAGAGAAGCTTCAGAGGTGGTGGGCTCTTATGTTCTGTATGATTGGGGCATTAATAGTCTGCAAGAAGTGATTAAGAGAGTCATGTCGACCTTCAGGAGTCTGTGACTTGGACTTGACTTGACTGGCTGACCTATGGGCATCGGTGGAATGCTCCTTTATGTGACTTTTGACCTTGTTATAGTCCAGCTGTCATTTTCTTCAAGTGTCAGCTTTGTGAATGTCAGTTTTGCTCAGTCATCTGTAATAGGTACTGGGATATTGCTATCCTGGGGAGATGAAGAGGTCTCTGCAGTGGGTGCTTTCCTGAAGGTCTGGAACACTTCTGTTGAGACTCTTGGGCAGGAATACCCATTGAAAAATGATATTGGGAGAGAGAGTAACAGAGTTAACACTACTACAAAGAATAATGCAAATACTTTAAAAATAGCTTAATTTTTCACCAGTGTATTGTTTTTTGATACCATGGTAACGATAATTGTACTGTATAGCCTACTGAGTAATTTGCACGGAAACTGAAGTCTCTAAGACCCCCAAGTCTGCTTACAAAGACTTTATCTGCCAATGCCATTTAGATTTCACAATAGGAGAATCTGATGAGATGACTGGTACTCCTCAAGAATGAGTCAAATATCATCTGTTAATTTAGTAGTAAAATATAAGCCTTGGAGGAATAAAGGAAGGTATGTTTTAAGCATATTGCGTGTACACAATGTGTGTGTGTGTTGTGATGTTGGGGACCAAACCCAGGTGTCTTCTGTAAAGCAAGCATTCTATTCATGAACTACATCTCCAGTCCAAGTTTTACTAACATTTGATATGTGCAAAAAATCACCAAGAATATAAACCAGTACTCCTGGATAACATCATAGCCTAAAAATTGGAAAAAATAGAAAATGTTATTTAAAGGGATCTAACAAACAATAGCTCAGTTTTACTGAGAAATAGCGCCATAGACTTAATGTACTTATTGCCTGGTCCCCTGGTCCTGGGCTCATAGGCTGAGTGTTGAAAACAGATTCTGCATCATGTAACAGTGTCCTTTGGGTGCATGGTCACAAGGAGACAGAGAGAGACACAGAAGCTCCTGAAGGCTGGCTGTGTTTTGGTATCTAACTAAGGAAATGGCGCAACCACTTTGCTCCATCTTGGCCTGAATTACACAAGCACATGGAAAAAGCCATTGTTGCTTTGGTACCCTAAATGAAACTACTTAATGCCATGCCGTTTTTATATTTAAGGCTATCATTCTAAATTCTGATTATATAAATCAGCAAAGCATTCAAATGCTAGTTATAAATTCCTTAGTGGAAATGACTTGTGAGCACCTATGCCGAGGGCTTTCTTTCACGGTATGAAGGCAATCTATGTCACTCCTGTCAGAATCTTTCCAAATGTTTGATCAACAGTATCAGAGCTAGAACTTGAAAACAGTTTTGATCCACCCAGTTCCCAATCTATTTTCCTTCCGCATCAACAACTACAAAAACTGGTGGCTAGGCACTCGTGTTCATGTGCAAATTGCTGTTTTCCTATGCCTATTCTATTTCCACTTGTCCTTTTCTGTAACTCCCAATGTCGAATTTGATGGGGCCAGAATCCGTGTCTCAAGAGTGGTAGTAAAATGTGAAGAGAAAATGAGCCTAGACTGATGATCAGGAAGTGGTGGACTGGATTCTTCTGTTTGTTATTTCCTTGTATGCCATCTGTCATAAGTGTAGTCATGTGCAGAACTTCCTGATTCTGCCTGAAACTTCCTGCTTTGAGATGTGTTGTGTCTTCTCTCTCTTGAGAGCCCCTAGCATATTTCTCTCCAGTTTCTAATGTAATTGTGCATCTTCTCCTCTCTGTGAGAGCCATCTGTGTATATGTCTTTAACTTCCAGATGGAAGTCATGTGAGAGTCAGAACTAACTCTCTTCCCTCCTTTCTGTCAAAGACTCCTCTGTCCTTCAGTTACATAGTTAAATACCACATTTCCAGGGTGTGGACGGGGCTTCCCCCATTCTACTGTCTACAATCCTGTTTGGTAAGTTTTCCGGAGATACCAATTTTTGTAGGGAGTAGAAAATACTGTACCTACTTTCTTGTATCTAGCATGGGGGTCTTAAAACTCATTGTATATTTTTGGAGGTTTGGATAAGTACCCTGAAATGCACATTGTGTTCTCTAGCCCATGAGAGTTGTGGATACATTAAGTAGTGGGGCTTATTAGGAGGAAATCACATCATGGAGGGAATACCCTCATGTCACAGTTCTTTCTCCTCTTCCCCCTTGCTTCTTTCTATAAGGTGAGGGCCTTCTTCATGTGTGTATATCTGCTATATCATGATGTAATGGTGTGTTCTTTGTATCAGGTTTGGAAACAACAAATCGGCCAAACATGGTCCCCCAAACTGTAAGCCAAAATAATTGTGTCAGGTATCTATTGTTACCATAATAAAAATTTAACTTCCATAAGTAAAAATTGAGTCATGAAACGTAAGGGAAGAGTTTGTGTCTTCCATAGCTATGTGAGGTGGCAAGGGTGAGCACAGTCAGTGGAAGACCTGGCCCTGTTCACCTCCAGCATCAACCCTGTTGTTTTCAAAAGAAAACAAGGGTGGGAGACGTATCTGCAGACATATCTGATGACTCATTGCCAGAGCCCATTTAGCCATCAACCATAACTTCCGAGGGGAGGATGATTTTATTATTATATTAAACAATACCATATTATTCAACATTATATTTGTCAAACATTGATGTTTGAGTAGTAGAGAGGGAATGAGATGAATTGAAGGGACTAACACAATTATTTTCTTGGAATGGATGCTCTCAAAGCAGGAGCTTCATTCTCAGAATGATTCAGTTCTGGAATACATAGGAGCATAGGATGCTTACCTCCCAGAACACTTTCCAAGACGTCAGCATATTGCTGGATTTGAGCTACATCCTTGGTCTCTGCTGATCTCTACTGGAAATCTAGATGTAGTGTCTTCATTGAGTACCATGTTATGAAGATTGTTGACACATTGGTTAGATAAAATTTCTTTGACTATGTTCTATGGACAGAAGACATCCCAGTATAACAGTCATTGCCGATCTATGTAGTAGCTATCAGAGGTAGAATCCACATGAATATAGAGTAGACCGTTGTGTCTTTGGGGGAGCCATTTCTGTTTAAACCAAAAACAATTTTATTCTTAATCTGCTCTTATAACACATGGAAGTAAAGTGGACATTACCATTCTCATTAGACAGGGGTATGCCAGGAACTGGTAAAGGCTGACCAGAGTCACTGAACAGCAAAGATACAGACTATTCAAAGCTCTGTGCCTGTGATTCCAAAGTTACCCCGACTTTCATCCTTCCCATTGGAAACATGGAACAAGGGCTAACTGTGACACTGTGTCAAAAGAAATGGAAGACCTAGAAATTCCCAATGATAAGTGTGCCCATACCACCATGAGACACCAGCAGGGAGGCTAGAGATTCTAAAGGGCCATAGGAAAGCTATGCAGGACATCAGGAGCACTCTCCTGGAGTCCTCAGACTGAAGTACCTGCACAGGTCAGTGACTCTGTGGTAACTCACTTGGAAGCAGCCTCACATATTATGACTGTGTGCATTGCCCTGCTCTTTCTCATTTTGGAATTTTCAAATCCTACAACAGTGCCTCTTTGTGGATAGCCCCTAACCGAGACTGATCCACCGGAGGGGATTCTGGGAAGTGTAATTTCCAGTGAGCAGCAAATCCTGACAAGAGGATAGTGCAGATGGAACCAATAACCTAGCCAGGCTTACCCACTGTCATCTCCCACAGCCGTGACATTGAGGATGTCACTACCATTCTTCTGCATATACATTTTTTTGAATTAACCAAAAGTTCCCTGAATGCCCCTCAATCATGTTTCTCCTTGATGTTTATCAGCCTTGCAAATTGCTGGAGTCACCTGTCATGTTAAGCATCTGAATTTGAATATGCAGAAGAAAGAAAGCTAAGAGTAAGGAAATTTATTTGAGAACTTGCTTGAAGATTTGAAACCCTCCGACTTCACTGTTTATCCACGGTCTCCAGTGTTTTCATTGACATGGTTGCTGGCTGCACATCTTCCTTAACTTGGTGTTTGGTCTATTTATGTTTAGAATTAATTGCCAGGA